TGTTCAATGAATTTAGTGAGATACCATGAAAGACATAAATGAAGAATCTGTGTGCTAGTTTGTCCTTATTTTCCCCATATTTTTCTGCAACACAGGTATATTCGCCATCGTCTTGAAGTCTTGCATTTTGTATTCTTAGCTCAGCGATAGGAGGGTTAAAGTGTTCGGTGAAAGAAGTGGAATACTTGATCACGTGGTCTCTTCCTTTGCACCAGTAAACGTTGTTGGCGTTTAATACTTCTGCGGTTACAGACAATGATTCTCCGACGTCCACATTCACACTCCTAGGAAGCTTTTTAAAAAGTAACTTGTCTGAAAATTTAAAAACACGTCTTTCAGGTCTTAAACAAATTTCATCATTAATATTCTCTCTCTCTCTCTCTCTCTCTCTCTCTCTCTCTCTCTCTCTCTCTCTCTCTCTCTCTCTCTCTCTCTCTCTCTCTCTCTCTCTCTCTCTCTCTCTCTCTCTCTCTCTCTCTCTCTCTGAGACTTACGTAATGACAAATGTATTGAATATACATGTATGTATATATTGTGTAATTTGCTCTTAGAATTTAGTCTGAACATGATTACTAAAAAGTTATTTTTAGCTTTAAAATTTTTCACATGATTAATTTATTATGATGTGATGAAGTGGATGGTGCAATGTTAAATACAATTAACATCTGTTGATATGAATTACCAGTCTTCATTGCATAGTTACCGTTAGTTCGACGATTCATAAATGTTGTATGATCCATATAACATTTTTTATTGCCTAGAAACAATAAAGTTTTACGTTTAGATACAAATCATAAAGAAATTTAGATGCAGTTATTGATAAATCTTGAACATGGGAAAAAAACTTAATTCTGTTCATTTCCATTAGAAGGAAAGGTGACAATTTGACTATTTTTTTTGACATTTCTTGAATTTCCTAAAGTTGCTGGGTTTCATTGTTCTAATCATTAATTTTATTTTAAGGGAGAATAGAAAATGAATTACGTACAAAATAATATGCTGAAGATGAGGATGAAGAAAACGAAAGCTGTGAAAATCGATGACACGACTTCCACATAGAACGACCATCCTTTACTTAGAGACCCTGACAATTTCGCCAAAGCAAGCATAAACGATATCACTGTGCATGTTTCCAGTACAACTGAAAAATATTCAATAATGTTGTATTATAGATATACATATGATAATTATCATTCAACCATTGACGTTATGAAATACCGGTAGTTAAAACATACTCAAGAGGAACGTTGAAATCACATTTGCTCTCGCAAATATCTTTGCTTTTTTGCAACATGGCCGACAAGATTCACACATCGAAAACACAGAGCATAATAAACACAGAGAACCAAGGGAACAGGCACTGATCAATGCATAACGAGTGAGAAGTAGATACTCTGAAAAAAATATATAAAAAATACAGTTGCCCCATATATAAGTTGTCGATCAATAACTTTATACATGTATCAAAAAAATTGTATGAAAATTTGGTTGAAGTGGTTTCCTGTTTTGTTTGTTCAGAATCAACTCTCTACTTTCAATCTTTTGGCTGCCTCTTTTTTGCAGTGTAAGTTCATTTAATTCTTGTTGATAAATTTGACTTTGTGACTTTGTGATTGAAATGTATTCAAATTTTTGTTTGTTAAATCTGCAAGTTCAGAAGAAGATATGATGCATTACAAATCATCAAGTGAAATTATTTGGAGGATATGTAGAATCCGATTGTGAAAAGGATAGAAACATGCACCATATTGATGAAGGATGAAAAATTATTTTTTTTCTTCTAAATATTGAAATAATATAATGAGATAGGGGTATAAGAACAGTAATCAAGCGCAAAGGTCCATGAAACAACACAAATCAGGAGCAGAGCAGACGTTGACCTCTAAAATCAACGCCAGAGGTCAGATCAGGTGCCATGGAGGAGTAAGTATATCGCCTGTCGGTAACACCCGCCATTGGGTCCTAGTCATAATCAGGCAAATTGAAAAACTGTAGGCAGTTCAGTGTTTAAAAAGAGCCTAACAATCAAAGTGAAAAAACGTTGGCCAGCATTCAATTTTTTAAGTGCATCCACATCTAAATTAAACCACCAATTTTTGTTGTGCAGTATTCCTAGAGTTTCTTTTTCACTGCAGTTGTATCAATTTATATTTTAGTGAGGAATAAAATAAGAGTCTTTAGATGGACATTTACTGGAAGTGTAGGGATCCAGTATAGGTATGGTAATTCAAATTCATTTTGTTTGTTAGGAATATTTGAAACTGGCATTTGATAATTGAAGAGTTTCCTTCTTAGACTGGAAGATATGTGTATAAGTTGGACCTCCAATTGCAGATTTACATAGCCCCTCGGTAATTTTGCAAGTAATAAGTGTAAGCTGTATATCTAACACTCCTCTCCTTTTTTTTTATTGATATTTCTTTTTATGGGCTTGGATTTACAATACGTATGCTAGAAGTGTTTTACTTTTAACAACCTTTGTCAAATTATTTTATTTATCAAGCTGTTAAGCCATTTGAAATCTTCCGTCTTTTTTCAATCTTAATCAATTAGAGTATATATTATGACAAGAAACAGAAAAATGAACAGAACAATAATATACTGAATACAAGGAAGCCATTTTTCTTAAGGAAAAGAGACCTATCTTTTTAAGGCACCATGTGATACCTGTTTAATAGAAACCCGGAAACCAAAAAATAATTTTTGCGGATATTTTTATAGTTCAAAATAAATTATTTAAAAGAAATATACAGGAAAAATATATTTTCGTTAGAAGGATGACCCGCTTTATTATGCAGGAATAAAGTTCTTGTGGGTTAAAAGTGTTTTACAGTTTGGATCTCCTAAATTATTTCTCTTTGCATGAATGTTTCAGTCCAGTTTTATCCCCAAAATGGAGAAAAAGTATATACATAGCCAAGACTGGTAACAATTTAAATCAAGTAAAACATGCACTAAATTAAAAAAAAAGTCTTGTATAATCGTTATAAACTAAATTACTAGTAGGTCTGGTGATCAGAAAAGTTTTCAAAATATTTTATTCAATTGGAGGAACGACTGGGAGCAGTTGGGGCAAATAAATCACATGAATCTTAATAAATATATAATTGTATTTACTTAAATAAAGTGCCATATAATTGTAACATGTAGAAATACAAAGAGGACTTCTGCTAACACTTTACATTAATGGTTTGAAGTCCACTTTTAATAGTACTTGTATATTTTTTAAATAAACATAAATTTCCCATCTCTCTACCTTGTACAGTTTGTAGTTCTTCTGTAACACTTTTGCAGGCTGTGACGTTGTTGGTACAATACCTGAAGACTCCAAAGTTGAAGCTTGTTTCATCTATCCAATGATCGGTGATCAGGGCGTACAAAAGACCACTACTTATCAAAGCGTAAACCAGAACCAAGGAGCAAACTAGTTTCCTCATCACTAGGATTCTCGTTAAATTAAAACGAGTTACATGTATAATCCTTATTTTTGATATAAAAGAAGTTTAAAAGTTTGACCGAGTTTGATCAAATGCACATATATCAATATGTACAGGACTTAGTAAATTACAACAGGTAGTTAAGGTTGACAATTACGTATAACAATACAGTAACCTATAGGTAAGTAGATAACGCGAGTTGCGTGTGTAGAACTTGAATCTTTCTTTTAAACAAATTTTTCCTGTTCACATTATTAAGGGTGCTTTATAAAGAAAATTGATAACATTTTTGAATCACACTGAAAAGAAGACTTGCTGTGGCCTTCAACTCGACATTTAAATATATGGACGATGTACTATCAATAACAACTAGTTATTTTCATTTATATGTCGAATCGATATATCCCAGTGAACTTAAAATAGATGACATCCTACGAGTCTGAAACATCTGTTTCATGTTTGGATATTTTACTAACAAAAAACGATTGAGAACTAACAACTAAACTGTGTGACAAACGAGATGATTTCAACTTTTCCATCCTCTAGTTTATGTAGTAATATCCTGCAATCACCATGTGGTATGTACATCTCCCATCTTGTTCGATATTTAAGAGCATGTTCTGAGTACAATCAGCTTTTAAAACAGCAGGCTACTGGTATATCAGTTGATGTTACAGGAAATTTTACAACCTCGTTTAATTTCCTAAATTCTTTGGTCGTTATAATGACTTTGATAGCAAATAAAACCTTTCACTGAGTCTTTTTTTGGGGTTCCTGTTTCTTACCAATTGTTTGATAATGGATTGGACTACAGTTTCGTCTATTTACACAATACATAGGATTTACGATGGAGATGGCCAATAAACAGGGTATGTTTACTCCTGCTAGGCACCTGATTCTACCTCGGGGATTTCCAGGGATTTAAAATAAATTCAAATAAGCACCTTTTAAATTAATGTTTGAAAAAGGATTGAATAGAATGCTGGATCAAAAGATCTTTAAAGAGGCTGGGGGGTGACAGCCATTTTCAGACTATTTCGATCTCCTTTAAAAGAAGAGCTCCATATAAAGATATACAAAAATGATCAAATTTTAAAACTAAAATGTTGACAGCTTAAGATACCGTATCTAAACAAATATATTAAATCTGGTGGTTAATTTGTGGTTAATTTGTTGACCCCCTAGCCTCCTTAAGTAGCGCATTGTCAAACTAAAGAACATGTATATTTTCAATGGTAGCTTTGAGGCTCTAGCTGCCCTTGTGTGTACAGATAATGGGATAAAGGTAGTGGTTTTGATATATGATACATGTATCTATATTGTTTAACGATTTTAATTTTAAACAACACGTCTGAGGTAGCTGCGGTAAAACTGTGTTCATTTATTTCCACCTAAATTGATGACACAACCCTCTTGACTTTAACCTGCCAATACACAAACTATGAAACCTTGTAATCATATCTGCTGCATCATGTACAATCTGTTGAAGATTTATTTTAGACAAACCTTTGAATGGAAGTAAAGTTGACTACACTTCCAAGCACAAATAAGGAAAAAAATATATTCCCGGCGATGTTTTATTGTTATATATAGAATAGCGTGCTAACAAGAATTTTTCAGCTTAGAGCGGAAGACTTCTTTCTGTGTCGGGTTGAATGTGTTGTAGATACTAAATATGGAGTTCCTGTCACGCAGTTCTCTGAGTTCTTTCATTCTTTCAACGACAGTCAACTTCTGCGCAAAAAGACGTCCTTCATCAAGATGCTTAGAAGAAAGCTCATAACAGTAAACGACAGTTACCTCAGCTGAAAAGCGCCATTTAAGTCACTATGAATTGAATAATTATGTTAGTAAAATTCTTCAAAAAGTTATTTTTTTATTTTTCAGTTATATGAAAATACCATACCACCAGTTCCTTGTAGCATCAACAGAGTTTCTCTTTTCAAACCTCCCTGTTCTTCTTCTATGATTAGGTTCCTTTCGTTGTAATCCACAAACATAAGAATAACCTGAATAAATTCAATTCCAATTTAAAAGAAGAATTAGGCACATTTGTGTCTAAAACATAAAGATACATGTAATTGTACCGATAAGAAAATGTTCTGATAGAATGCGTAAATTTGATCAACCTTTGATGGGGGCAGAGTTTCCAGACTTTCTGTAGAATTGACTACAACTTTCTTCATTTGTAGAGAGAACCCTGAGCCCATCAACTCCGAGGCCAAATGTACATACTTCTGTTTATCAGATCCATATCCAAAACAAACGACACATAGCGAATTTTCAAGGTTTTCCTAAAATAGATAAACAAAACAATAATCTTTCTCTTTCTTAAGGAAACTGATTTGATATATTCAGGGATATTTGGCTGCATCTTTGAAATTTTGTTCAACACCTTCGATTCAGGTATGGGTTGGGGTTTCTTTTTAGTTAAAGAACTCTCCATCCATTGCTTAACTACTTCTTTATTACCGCTTGGCCTGTTTGTCCAAATAACATAAACCACCGATGCTATTACTAGTAGTGCAGGTATTATTAATAAATCCCAAATTCCATCTACATAACAGAAAAAAAATATGGATATAAAAATGGTTATTTTCAATATTTTACAGAATTTTTTTTAATACTTGGACTACGAAATATTATTTCTAATTGATCAATGCTGAGCGACCATGGAGTGTGGCCGATCAAAAGGTGATGCAACCTCTTCATGTGCGTCTAAATGTAGTACTTGAAATGTACATGTACGAGGGTTGTCCCATAAAATCGTGGACAAAACGTTTTTCTCGAAAAGTAATGGGCGCACTAAGCTGAAATTTTCAGTAAATGTTTATTCATCATATTTAAGTGAATCATGATGTTTTTGATAATATATATTCAAAAATTAAGATTCTATTCTGCTTGAATGTGCACAAGGTATGGTCCTACGGCGCACGGTAAAAATAGCAAGGTTATATTAGAGAAGACATAAGAATTAATTGGTAATAAAAGTTTTCAATACATAAGATAAGGATGAAAATTATCCTAATTTTATTTCTTAATCAATTCTGTTGTCTTTTTAAAATTTTCAAGGCATTTGGTTAATTTTTGGCAGTTTCCCAAGCATTTGAAATGGGAAAGTAATAAACACAATACACGAGAAATGGCGACTTTTTATGACGTTACGGCGCACCGGAGAGCAGTTCAGATAGATTAGGATGTTGTAATGACGCCTTAAGAGACTTTAAATGAATACAGAAGAAAGAAAATATGAAAAATATCACCAGATCTTTAGTATATAAATGAAATGAAAGTTTTCTTAGTGAAATCTTCGTGGTCGAGTCCCCAGATAGCACATACATGTAACATATGGACAGACTGCCATTTGTAATAGCAAAGGACGCTGTCACTGTCGACCGTTGATGTGAGATTCTCTTTTAGTTGAATGATGGTGAGAATACTGTCTGTAACTTGCTAATAAATATTCAGAAGATCGCATGAGTGTGCCACATTGGTTTCTTAACTGGTCATAGATACTCACATATGTAAATCAATAAAATTTCTAAATTTAAGTGGGGCTTATCCAACTTTAAGTTTAGCAAAGATAAAACGTGACGCTGTTTTAGACACTTTGACGTTATCATCCGTGCGCCGTAGGGCGATATACATAACATATAATATCACAATTTGTTTACCTATGCATATATCTATTTGAAATTTGCTATGTATATTTATAATTTATCTACTAAAAAGTGGTGAAAATTTCAGAACGCAGTGATGATTATTTTTCAAACTAGACAACTTGTCCACGATTTTACGGGACAACCCTCGTATATATTTACCAGGTTTATATTGCAACGTTTCCATTCCATCCGGTCCTTTGATGCATTTCCTTTTTATTTTATGTCCACATCTGTATGCAAAACTTGGATAAGATAAACAAAAGCTTTTCAATGAGTTAATCGTATCATTTAAAGACAATATTCCTTTCTTATTACTTTTCAAATGTACATTCAAAGCATCCATAACTTTTCCATTATGTTTAAACTTTTGCTGGATTTGTCTAACAGTCCAAAGTCTTGCCTCTGCTAATTCTGAGACCTGTTGACGTAAGAGTCTGTGCAAATAGTGCAAGGTGCTTTTTGACGTCATCATCAACTTCTTCATAGATCTCTTTAAATCGTTTAATATTGGTACCAGAATATTCTTTGTCAAATGTGATTCAGATGAATGTTGGTTAGATGAATTATATTTTACTTCTTTGGGAGATTTATATTTGATAAATTGTATTTCAACTATTTCATGTAAGTTGCGTATTTTTTCTTCATAAAGATTTTCAAATATCTTTCCTCTTTCGGCCTCAAAGTGATGTTTCAGTTCATCTTTTGCCTTATCAACGTATGATTGTGGGTATGATGGATGTTTTGCATGAAGGTTTAGCAAATCTTCAGAACATCTTGTCAGGTCTCTGCTAATTTGAAGTTGTCTTTCCATTGTCGTTTTGACTAGATTCCTTTGCTCTGCTACTGACTCAGCCAGACTGTTTACAGATAGTTTAACACTTTGTAACCCTGCTTCTAAGCTGTTCACTGAACTCACATAATGATTTTGCCTTTTCTTTATTTCTCTAAACTCCATCTGGCAGATGTGTTGGATCTCCTGCATTTTATGCTGAATGACCATACACCACAAAATCGAGCAGCTAGAGGTAGACACGTACACATAAATAAAAAAAAAGTACCACGAGATTTTGAGAGTGAAGCAACAATAAAAAAAAATAGTAATCTGGAAACTTACCAGGTGAAGAAACCTGTCAAAGTATGTGCCCATAATAGCCTTTTAAAATTAAACTCTGATGACATCAGGTATCCTACTTTTTAAAACGTTAACTGTTAAAAAAAGAAAAAAAAATCAATACTGATTACGGCGTAGTAATAGTGATAATCAATATGCTGGTCAACATCTGTTGCACTTTATTGTAATTTGTTGAAATTTGAAATTGAAGTAGAGGGGGCAGTCAGAAAAAAAAATCGACAAGCAATTTTAAAAATGACATTGAAAGAAAAATTAAAACTGACCAAACTGTGAAAAACCGACTTCCCAAATCCTGTCATTTTGTCATTGTTTATAATATCATTTAAATTGAGATCCTCGCCGTTAAGCAAAATATATTCTCCCTGCACATGGCAAAGTGTACTGAGCACCACTTTTTTGCGAGTTGATTTTCAGCTTCCATTCGGTATTTGAAATGTGTTAAATGTAAGAGGAGTTCCAGAATCAGGTTTTTGTAATATAAAAAAAATGCGATTTAATTCTCATGTTGCCGCTGAGTGTAATTGAAAATCAAAAACACATATTGCTCATCTACGCTCCTATTCATATTCACAAACTCACAGTCCCCCTTTTTTTAAACTTAACTTTTTACCATAAAAAATGTAAATTGAAAAGAACCCCAAACAGCTGAAAAAAATTGCCCTTAATCCTCAACATAATAAGATTTTCTGGTTTGGACAATCTCCATTTTAAAAGGATTTTTTCATTGATATATGGTAATAAACTGGTTATTAACTGGTATATAATGTCTTTTGTTAAACGCCTTATTATGCACAATTCAAACAAACTTTATCTACAAGACACTCGCATTCTTTTCCTAGAAAAATCAGTTTAAGGAAACGCATAACTGTGAGAAGCCCCGTTTCGTTAATTATTGCCATTTAGAAATACCACCATTTCAAAAAGCTGATATCACCTCATAACCATGCGTAAAACCCTAACTCCTTTTTTTTAAAAATAAATATTGCAGTTGTGTGTAAAGTTGCAATGGTTTTCGAGGGGTGGAAATCTAAACGTTAAACTAAACTTCATGCAAATTTATCATATTAAACTGAATATTTCATACAAATACACGTAACAGTAAACCTTGTGCGCATAAACTCTTCACAGTCAATATATTAATATATATATTTTTAAAATATCATCCGTTGTCAAACAGTATCAGCTAGCTGTAGCTATGCTGGAAAATGTTGCTTCATTATTCAGCAGGTGATGGTGTTTTGAAGAAATGTTTCTTGAAGAATCAGATACCACAAATTTACATGACAGTATGCAAATCACACTATTATATACAGTGTATATATAACAATAAATATCAACAGGCCCCCTCATACGTTATTGATAGCGCTTGCATGAAGATAGATTATGGTCAGATTTGTGCTACCTTATATCAAATAATCATATTTTAGACTTGACCAGTACGTACATGTACGTCAATAAAAATAATGAAATCTTGCGGTGTTTAACTCTTAAATTTGAAACTGGAGAATCTGAGCCACTCAAAGACATAATCTTTATTTACGTGTTTAATTTTAACAATGGTATATAGGTTTAATTATCAAGATTTTTGTTTTGGAAAAATTGTACTGTTATATCAATACAAATGTCTTTATGCTAAATAATTTACTTCCTTACTGACGACAATCTTTGTATTCATTACAAAATCAATATTATAATTTATGAGATAGTCAACTCGTAAAAACAAGTTAGATAACTTATTTGTTAACAGAGATAAAACTCGTTCTTACGAGATAATTCGTTCAAACTTTTCAATAAAAAGCCCTTTCGGCTTCCATAAATACAAAACAATTCTTGCATTACGTAACTGTGTTTAGAGTTAAAGCGGATGTTACATATTTCTTTGAAATTTCCCTTTTAAAGTAAATAATGTACATAGATTCATAAAAACACAATAAACGTTAGAAAAGCTTTCAATATCCAAACAAAAAATTTCTCGAATGTGTATCCTGACATCTCTTCTGTTTAGGCGGCTACAGTTCAAAATATTATAATCAGAACATAATTTATAAAAAAAATCATTTACACATCCTTTAATTTATAAATTTTTTCTCATATGTACGAGTTATTCTTTTTATCAATAAAATCTTCATTGACTTTTCATGCTTAAGGTAATTAAATTCATAAAAATTCTTAATATGTACTGTAAAATACTTGAATTGATATCAGATTATTTTATACATGTACATGTATAGAAAATTTTGTTCATAAATGAGTCGGCTACCCGAAGTGCTTATAACAATGATATTTAAGAAATAAGGTATAATTTTTTGAGTTTTATTGGGATGTAAAACGGGTTGGTCACGTGATCAAATCCCATAAAGCCCGAAGGGCTTTATGGAAGATTTGATCATGTGTCAACCCGTTTTACATCTCAATAAAACTCAAAAAATGATACCTTATTACTTATATTTACATTTGTGACTTATTCATACTTTATATTTGCCTGATTGTTACTTTTAACGTGTGAAATGCGTTAATTTTTCAAACCCAACGGCATGTATGTAATCCACTAAACGCGCGTCGACCCTTTATGACGTCACAGAGAAATTACGTGGAACGTTTATCCAAACGCACATCTATGACCTCTTGACCCCAAACCTGTATTTACACAGTTATAAAAACGCTTGCCTTCAGTAGTGTTATGTAAAGGAAAACATTTGCAAATGTAAATATTTATTCTTAAATTTAAGGTTCAGATAAATATCCACATTAAAGCCGCTGAAACCATTCGAGCTGTTAAAATACAATGTATAAACTAACAAGTTTCATTTAAGACAAAATCAGTTCGATACTAATGACACAAAGAAAAAAAGTAACTTACTTTCACTGTGTAGTATGTCAAAAAAAGATAACATTGTATTAAATGGAAAACAGGATACGGAAGGAGAAAAAGGATGTATGTCATTTTCTTACATCCCTATCGTACTTGCATGTGCCTAAAAACTATATATATATAAAACAAATGTACATGTACATTAAATAATTTCTAATTTTATCTTTGGTATACTAGCGTTTTTCTAGTTTTTGGAAGTTACCAAACCTGCAAGTTAGTCAGCATTTTTTTTGTTACATGGAATAAAATCACCTCATCCTGAAACATAACACTAATTGATTTTAATTGTAAAAAGTGATCATGTTTATATTAATCACCAAAAAACCTTTTTAAAAAATCATTATAGCGAGCGCAGCGAGGCGGCGCGAAGCGCCGCTCGCGTAGCGAGCTCAATAAACTAACGTGTACGAACGTAGGAAATTCGGGTTGAAATCTGCACATTGTTCCAAGAAATTTTTATCTCACCGCGTGAAAAAATTCCAAAATCCCAGTAATCCTTTGCGGTACATAGCAACGTGGCTTAAACATAGCAACACCTTACTTGAAAAAAATACAAAACAACGATTTATTGCAATTCCCATGCCAGCAAACCATCGTTTGCTTCCTAGTTCCTAAGTCTACAGAACTTTTTATCTGACGTCATATTTTGGTCACTTTAACGGTTCGGGTATTTCCGATTTTGTCGGAAACTTCCGAGAAGTTCGGAATCTCGATCCCGATGTTTGGTTAGTGATTTCTTTACATTATTTTGTTTTCTTTCTTTTTTTCTTGAATGATAGGCAGTTCATGTGTCATGTGTGCAGGTTTTTGATGGTACATAACTGCGCTCGCCCCAACGGTCATACCGTAAAACATATTAATACAATTACTACTCTAAATAAGATAGATGAGGATCGACATATATGTGTAAAGTGTTTTATTTTTCAATATCATTTATTTATTATTATCATTGATAAATCTTTACCTTCTTCCGTACAATGTAAGTCTTAGAGAGTAAACAAAATATGAAATGCGAATGAATGACTAGAGCTTTTTTCAGCTTAAGGACCTTTTTCCGGTTAACTTACACTGTACTGTCTTTGTTTATTAGTCCAGATGAAACCACAGGGGACTATAACTTTCATCTGAATCTGTCCATCCATTTGTCCCTGTGTCTGAATCCGCCATTAAAAAAAATAATTCAAATTTTCTTCTTAAATCTTTTGAGTGGATTTTGTCGTATATTTTATACTGAATGAAACGCATTAGAACAAAATATGAGAATTTTTTTGACAATGTGGCCGAAAATTGGTCTGATGTGCATTTAGGTTACTTAATTAACACTTAAATCGCTGTTCAAAATGACTCGATCATGAAATGTATAGCGTCACGTAGGGAAAGTGATAAAATGCTAAAAACACGCGCAAATTGATGATGAAAATTTTGTGATCACATTGTGTAATGCTAAACGATGCATTAGAGTTATACACTAATTTGGTCCGTGAGCTTGGCAACTTTAACGTCGATTTTACTCTCACACGCGTACGTAAGCGTCGCATGCGTAATGTATTTAGCAATTCACACTGGGAAAATGTAGCAAGTGTTTGTTGAGACTTTCTTACAAAGAATAAAAATGTGTGATAACAATAATGACAAACGTATTCGAAATACTAGTAATAGTTTTAATTTAATTCAAAAGTTTACAATGCGTTTCTTTTTCCTTTCAGTATATTTGACTTCACTGATTTTCTTTTAGGAAACTGAAAAGATGTCCAACATGTCCATAAGCATAGGCGTAGTCACAGGGGGGGCAGCGGGGGCACTAGCCCCCCCACTTTCAGATCTGGGGGGGCAAGAGTATGTCTGTGCCCCCCCACTTTTTAATGAAGAACAAAATCACAGCTATTTTGAAATAATATTAATACATAGTTGTATAATAAAATTGTGTAGAAAAATTGAAATTGAAAGTAACTTGCCTTTGAAAAAAAAGTTGGCCACTACCCCCCCCCCCCACGAAATAGGATTTTCGATTTTTGGGAACTTTCAATTTTTGAACCTTTTGGACTTGAGCCCCCCCACTTTTAAGTTTGTGACTACGCCTCTGATAAGATATGAATAACGCGTTCAATGGTATATTTGTGTATATTTCTATTGTAAAATGAAAAGTAAGGTTTCTTCGGTTTTCGCTACGCGCTGCGCAGTGGAAAGATCGTCTGCTCTTGAGACGCTAAGTAAGGAGTTGATCCTTCGCGGGTTCGAATTCCAATGTGGGACATGGAGTTTGGTCTTTCGGATGAGACCGTATAAACTGAAGTCTAGTGTCGCAGTAGATGCTGGCACGAAAAAGATTTCTCACTGCTCAATGGCAATAAGTGCCGTGTATAAGACAAAATTTGCATCTCTCTACAGGCAAGTGGTTGCTTCTCCATATATAGACAAAACAACTGCTTTCCCATCTTCCCAAGTCAAGAGTTTCTGATCCGCTCCGCTCCACATAAACCCTTGACCGAATAGGCTAAGTTTGACGGGGTTAGAAATGCGTTCTCTGATTGGTCTCGTGTACGTTTGCATAAACCAATCAAAATCATTGTATTATTTAAACTGAAACTACATCGTAAATAGAAAAACACGCCAGTTTTAGTCCCAAGGATAACGTATTTTTCATTAGATAGCCCTTTTAAAGGTTTGTCTCAGTTTTTTAGTTGAGTTATATTGAATTTATTACCGACTACCAATATTATCTCGAATTCGCTGTTGAATTCGTTTACTCTGATTGGCTAATAGCAGAGGTCAGGAGAGTTCAAAATATGTAATC